ATAAAAACTGACAGAAATGTAAATTACCCTTAAAACAATAATATTCTACCGCACACATGGACTATAAACACGCATGTAACAGAATGCGATTAACGACTGTGGTGGGCTAAATTCCACTTACGACTAAGTCGTGTCTTGCACACGTTTCCGGAAGGTAACTCTCACGCCAGTCAGGGCCTGTCTGTACTGCAGCCCATTTCGTCGTCAGGAGTCGCAGGTTCGAAGGAACAACGATGGTCAACTGTGCCATTTTCTTTCTGTGGAGATCAAGAATGAAAAAATCAATGTCCATACCTGTGGGTTTGGTTTTATTGAGATAACCGTCTTACCCGTGAGACATATGCAGAACCTCTCTTGTGCACTGTATTAACAGGTTTTCAACATTTTCCGCTCTACGACATCGGCCATTGCATCGCTCAAGCACCAGTTCCTCTCTGTTGTATGTTCGTCTCCTGGACCAGCCTTTGTAACAAGACCAACCTCGTTTTCCTAATAATCACAGCTACAGCGGACATCTACCTATTGAATGGGACAATTACCATTTAAGCTGATCTGCAGTTTGACCCTCATTATTCATCAAAGTCAATAGTTAACCAATCCAATAGTTTTACTGCTTACCGAAGTACATAAGCCAAATGTTCCTTCAGATCTATTCTTTCTACTGTCAGCTGCCTTTCTTCAATCAACCGAAAAAAGCACTAATGAGTAACTCAGTTTCATCCATCCTTGCAAAATTTTCATGAAGAACCTTGAAAATGTGACATGAGGCACGAACTCAAGCCTTTTTCTGAAAGTTTTCAAATGATGCTGACCACATTTTTGCCATATGTCCGAGTGCTGACTAAAACAAATAATTAGACCTCCTCAATAGCCTATTCCCTCAAAATATCGAGTTAACTATTGAAAGAGAAAACAATTCCCGTCTACCAGTTTTTTATGCCTTAATAATCGACTCCTGCAACTGCTATAAAATTTAAATTTATTGTTAATCTACTAACACTGGCAAGTTAAATAATCATTTGAAACAGTTAAGGTCTTGTGGTTAAAGCTTTGATAGACAGAGCCCGAAGCTCTGTTATAATCAATTTCTTAAAGACAAAATAAAGTGTGTCAAATTAACCTTATGCAATAACATTAATTATCCAGCTAAATTCGTTAATAACATTGTAAACTGTAGAGATAACCACTTTGAATTTATTTGCAACATTAACAAGGCGAAAAATAGACCTTACTTAATTCTACCGAACCATTAAACCTATAGTGAAAAGTTGCAAAAATTACTGTGCACAAAATATAAATGCTATCTAAAAATGCTCTAATGAATTTAATGCACTATTAAATAATTCGGAGAATAATTTCTCGCTAGGCTTACTTTACAAATTACAGTGCAGTTGCAGGAAATATTACACAGGAGAAACAGGAAACACCGTCTCGCAGAGAACAAAGATCATCTTGTCAAGTTGGAGAAGATAAATGAACGCGGATGAGCGTGAGCGAGAAGCGGTAACGAAGCACTCAGGAAAAAACAAATCTTTGGACCCGGAAAAGTCAAAGAACAATGGCAGAAGACCTCTGGTATTACAAAGCTTGCGGTCAAGCAAGGGTGACACTCCTTTTGATGGTCTGAGTGTGGCGGCATTATCAAAGAGGATCACTGGCTACACAGGCGGATAAAAGAGACATTAATCATCCAATCGTGCGGAAAGTCGACTGTGACAAAGAATATGACCTCTGCGCTGATTGGATGAGCCTCGTTACCTCTGACGCCAAAACGTATTTAACCAACAGCACGGACCGAAAGCTTGCCTTCTGGCTCCAAAACTATCGATTGTTGTGGACGACCAAACACGTTCACGAAACTTCACTACCACTAACCTACCATGAAGAAGGCCCGTGAGACACGGGCTGAACCATATGTATTGGATAGTCACCGGACTGGTCACAGCATCTTTTGTGTTGTGCATAAGCAAACCGTGTCTTATGCTATTTTTCATGTAGATGACTTCGCGAGTTGGCACGATACTTGTAGATTGCAAAGACTGAGGTTGCTAAGTCTGTAGAGCGACAGACACGGAACCAGAGACCCTGCGTTCGAGTCCCAGTCGGGTCACTCTCCTTTTTTCCTCCTGAGGTACATAAATGAGTACAATTCTGAGGAAGAGAAACAGAACGATACAGAGAACACTTATCAATCTATTCGGCGTCGATCGATAGCCATTATGACGTGCAGTCGTGTTGCGCGCGTTTCATTCTATGTGACTGGACTGTGGTCATCTCGATCAACTATAAAGTCCAACCCAGCAAGTTATATGCCTATGAGAAGATCTCCTTGAGCACAATGTGAAACTTCTGTCAAATTAACGATCTGTCAAACTACGATTCGTAAATCGGCAGATGTTCATTATTCATATATTAGTATCTCTGCGAATACAACACCAAAGCGCCTGTTTAATTAGTTGTAAAATTGCGCAATTATTCAATAAAATTTAAATTTGTGAATTCAATTTAAAGTCAACTTTCCATGAAAGAACAACGCGCGGATGTACGAAACAACTTTATTCAGATAGCAAAATTTATATGCAATATGTAACATCATTGCGCTATTTCGTAAATATGCGCTAACCCACAACATAGGTAGCAATATCTGCATTATGATGGTCATTAATAATAGATATTATTCTTTCGTCCGCATGCCGATATTTCATGAACTTTACTGGTGGTTGATGACCGGAAGCAAGTTGTTCGTAGTATATTTTACGATACCGCTGCACTTTACGGAGCCAATCAATTAGCTTCCATAGCGACGGGTGTGACATTCCCAACTCGGTCTGAATTCTTCGATGATCTGCTTCCGCATAAACGTTCGTACGCTCTTCATAGTGGATCACCCTTCAATAAGCCTACTACATTTATGATGGAAACGACGCTGGACGTCTTGTATTTCCTCTGTTCTTCAAGCGGTCGACGTATTTACCTTCGAACCACTCAAGAAGTGGCTGCAGGTCGTTGGGAAGTTCTTCAGCCAGCCGGTCGATTAGTTCATCCAATGCACCAAATGGTACAAACGCCACTGTC